TTTATTTTAAAACATTATTATTCACTGTTTAATATCAGTTTATTTTCCAAGTATAGGTACACAACAACCAGACGTTTTACTGGATTTGCGACTAGAAATAAAAATAAGCCATCGATTACTTAGGTTAATTTCGAAATACGAGTATAATTAGATCTAACTATTTTTATTAGTTAATTCAATAGAGACCACTTCGCATCCATCATTTTATCAAACATTTCGAAATGGAAAAGTAATTGAAATATTGAGGACAATAACATAGCGTTCGTAACCATTTAATTCAATAGTATGTCTTGTATGAAGATTGATGAGAATTCGTCCAATCTTGCACCCATCTTACAATTTCTTTGATTAGGTATAGCGTGGTCATAAATACTCTACAGACTCTATGAGTGAATAATAATTTTACTAGTTGAGGTTTAAAATCAAGCATTTGATTATAAGTTGTATCAAATCGCAAACACAGTAATTCTCTTACTAGCCTTTACATAGGAGCCTTTGCGTTATTCCAAATTTAATAATATGAGTTTTTCAGACAAGAAAATCAAATAAACCAAAAAGTACCTAAATATTTATTGCTATAAATAATAAAACAGTGATCCAACCACTGACCGCAAGTGCAAAATTAAAATAGCTATCACGTTCCACCACCATCATCGGTATTTCCCAACGAACCTGTAGGTAGACGATACCCATATCTATACAGGGTGTTAGGTAAATGGGTATATGAGCCGACACTAGCCTATGTTAACATATGCATATAAATGGTATGGTGAAGTCAGAAATTTGATATCATCATTTTTTTTATTTTCATACAAAATAAAATTTATAAAATCAGATTTGTATGAAAATTAAAATAATTAAAATTATGATATCAATTTTCAGACTTCACTATACCATTTAAATGCATATGTTAACATGGGCTAGTGTCGGCTCATATACCGATTTACCTAACACCCTGTATATGTATTATATTATCTGTGTCTATATCATATCTGCAACCAGACCTTAATTTCGACCTACAAGATTTTTGGGGTCCACGAATATGCGTAGTGAACCCGATTTTTTTTCTTCATTAATGAATAATAATGTACAAAAATATAAAATACAATCTGGAGTAGGTGAGATTCAAACAATTTTCACTTTGCTTAAGTATGGCAGAGCATACTAAATAGTTTGGGGGCTTTCTGAGTTCTGCCTATCCTTCTGCCTAGAGGAGCGAGTTCAATAGCCGAATACACTTGGTCTTATGTGTACCATTTTCGCGGAGCCTCTAATAACCATTTGAACACAATCCCACAACTTTGTCAAGCCTAGAATCTAATTTGCATAGCTCTTAAACCTTTTAAACTGTGGTCAATGACCACGTTTTGATTCGGCAAGGAAACGTGAAGGTCCGACTTACTGCTTTCGTAAGTTCAAGGAGGTTCAACTACGTGTTTGTTCATTAAATTAGTATGCCAGTAAACTTTAAGTTTGTAGTACCTTTAGTTATTTTAAACGCGTCTTTTTGAGCACGCGTTTTAGTTCTAAATAGAAAGTTAGTGTGTAAATACTATGATGAATACTATGCCGTTTGGTGTAGTGGTTCGAAACGGACTACTATTTCGGAGGTTGCGGGTTCGATTCCCGCACAGTACAAACATTTGTGTGCATGAACATATTTGTTTGTATTGGACTGGGTGTTTTCTATGTATAATAAGTATGTATTTACAAAAAAAAGTATTTAAGTATGTTTATATCCGTTGTCTAGTACCCATAGTACAAGCTTTGCTTAGTTTGGGACTAGAAGCGCAGTGTAAAATGTCTAAGGATATTTATTATTATTTATTATGAATACATTTCATGATCTAATGTTTACATTAGAGATAAGAGTACTTAAAAATTATCTAGTGCGGCGTCTGGTACACTCTACATTTGTAGCATCACTGGGGTAAATAAACAAAACAGTTTATGGAATGTGCAACATGCGTAGAATCTCAACGTTGTTGAACAGAATGTTGATAGGTAGTACCTATATTGTTTAAATGTTTAGTTTATATTATTTATGGAAGCGAAATGAATAACTTTGAGTCAGCATTGGCTAAAATTATTTACAATTTTAGCTTAGTTAGAATAGTGATTTTAGTTAAAATATATAAATATTTTCTTTAATGCAATTAAACGTTGTAATAGCCTGGAAAATCATAATAAACAATGAAAAAAGTTTAACATTCTTATTTTCAATGTACAATGTTGTGATTTTGTCTTTACTAGTCTTTGATAAGATGTTTTACAGTCCAAACACCTAGATCTTGAAATATGTAGCTGCTTTTTATTGCTGTTTTATTATGTGTCATCAAATTGAATGCTCGCGCATTGAATTCTTAAAATGCTCGTGCTGCGAGATGTTTCGTATTTTCGTGCCAACTAAAGCTACCTAAAGGAACCCTTTCCATACTCTCCAGAAATAGTAGTTATGTATCGTCAGGAAATTCATCAGCATTCAGCAAGCGTGAGGGGTCGCCGACCGAGTTCGGCTCCACGGCCGTTCGTTCACTCGCTCCTGCGTTTGCGCACAAATAGAAGAGTGTTGCCAATTTCTGAGCAATTTTGGTTTGAAAATGGGAGATTTGAGTGGTCAAATTGTGCTAATTCAATTTGCATCGTACATTTTAAGATTTTCGGCTATTTTATTATCATGTATTAATAAAAAATATCCATAAGTATTTCTGTTTTCAGTACATTCACACTGTCCATATGTAGGATGTATTACTTTCACAGGCTTTTGAAGTACAGAACCGTATAATGATAACTAAATTCTCATGCTATGTGGACGAATATTATTTATCTCTTCACCAATATAATTTTAGTCAAGCTGTATTGTTTATGCAGAGCATATTTATTGTAGTGGACCAAAGTGGAGAATTTTAATAACATATGGGGTAATTAGAGTTACAAATAAACAACACCAGTTATTTTCGCGCCAATTCGCGGCCGCGGACGCGCACCCGCAAGGTGAGGGCCGCGCGTATCTCGGCGATGCGGTGATAATGACCCCGTTAGTTTGTTACAACACTTGTTTTATTACATTGGCATGGTGACGAAGACCATGAGTTTTTGAAGATCAGGGACGAGCGAATTAGTTTTGATTAGACTTAACATGAACAAGCCATAAAATTATTAAGATTAGTTCTTCTGTTCTATCCTCAAAAACGTTTTTTTACACATTTGTATTTCCACTACAACTTATCGCCTAGAATTTTCATAAAAATTCAAAAAGTTGGAAAATTCATGTCCAATAGGTACTTATACTTACTCTATCTACCCTTAAAATCTACCCTAATAGATTTGAAGAATGAATGTCTTCTTAATTTAAAAATTTAAAATTGTAAAATTTACAAAACATTTGGAAAATATTTTTATTGCAATAATTCGCGACATGATAGCAGCAGTTAAGAGCACATCCCATCATGATGTAAATTAGAGGCCAGTGATAATGACCCCGTTGTTTAGTTTGCTCTTACGCGTCCGTCTATGGCGTCGACATTTATTTTCGGACCTGATTGCGTATTCTGCGAATGTCTTATTTGTGTAAAGACAATTTTGGCAAAATATACTTACTTAACAATGACTAAAACTCTTCAGGAAATTGAGAACTGTTAGTGGACTTTTAAGCTTAGAGAATTAATTATGTACTAGCATTAAAAGTTTAAAGGATAAATAAATAACAAACAAACATTATTTCTCTTCTTTCTCTTCTTTAAAAACAAGCGGATAAGAACACTTAAAATGGTTAAGTAATAATTCACCATTATTTCCTAAGAATATTCGAATAAACTTAATTTTACAACAAAATTGCTTAAAATGAAATGATTCACTTTCCCGCCAAGAAAAGTCCAATTAGAAATATGTATTTGCATTGTTGTTAGGAAACGTGAATTTTATCCACGATTCCCCTCTTTAGCCCTTATTCTTTTATTTTAGCGTGGACATAGCGTTATCACAAGTGCAAATATTTGAGCTGTGAAGTTTCATAACAAAGTGTTTTTATCGGCATTTTTATCTGCCAAGTAGTACAGACGACATTTCAAGCCCTAGGAGAGCTTAAGCAGTTGTAATAAGCGTGATTGTGAAAAGAAACACTATAGTTTTGTGTTGTTGCTTGTACACCGAGCAATGACCAAGGTACAAACATCAGATTGCATCTTTTTGTTGCTAAATAGCATCTTTTTAATCTACTATTAAATAGCCCTTCTAAAACCCCAAGTTGTTGCCAAAATAAAAGAAGAAGATGCCATAGTGTTTACCTAGATATACTATCGTTCGCAGCAGAACAAAAAAAACAGCAACCACTTTTTTGTGTTCATAGCCTTTGTTTCTAGGAAAAATTAAACTAAGCTGTTGTTGTTCTGCAGGAAGTACTTACAGCAGCATCATAGAAAAATAATAATAACAGCTCTGTAACTGTTATGGAAAACTTTACTACTTAGTTTCACAAAACCCCGTATGACGTAAAAGCCATCACACGTCAAACAGATAATGCTGCAAATTTTTTGACAGCCCGTATGACATTTAGGAATGCTTGCCAAACACACTCGTTTGTGTGACATTCAAGTGTTCGTTGAAATAATGATAAAAGAAAATGCTTTTGTAAAAGTTGCGTTTTTTTGTTCATGGAATGAACAAAACCAATTTCGCAACAACATGATGGTACTCTCTGTTTTTAGGTTTTTCCACCAAAGCATGTCAAGTACTTGTTACTTGTTATTCAAGACGTTTACATACCTAACCGTTTTTTGTCGTAAAGCTATCTACTTAGGTGATTAGCTTCTAAAATTACGAGTATCTATGAGCCATAGTGTCTATTAAAGGTGCACTGTAACCGTGCCCACATAACACCAATCATACCAATAATATGATACGACTCTACTTTACTGTAGTAGCGAACGACATTCACGCCAGTGTAGTAGTGAACGTAAGTCCAGTCGAACGAAGTAGACTAATAGAAGAATCGTTTACAGGACATGCAAGAAGTTCTCGACGAGGACTCTACTATGAACGACTGGCTCATCGACTCCAAATCCGGCGTGGTGCTGCACGATAGGCTCATGACCGACGCGGCCCTCGGCGCGGCTCCCATCAAGACAGAACACTCCTACAGCCTACACTCCGACGTCGAATCAGCACCCTCATCGCCACACCACACCAAAGTCGACGGTAAGTGTTCAAGAACCTTCTAGTGGAATATGCTAGAGAAAATCATCATGACCGACGCGGCCCTCGGCGCGGCGCCCATCAAGACAGAACACTCCTACAGCCTACAGTCGGACGTCGAATCAGCACCCTCATCGCCACACCACACCAAAGTCGACGGTAAGTGTCCTTTAGCGTTCTCATATCATCATGACCGACGCGGCCCTCGGCGCGGCGCCCATCAAGACAGAACACTCCTACAGCCTACACTCGGACGTCGAATCAGCACCCTCATCGCCACACCACACCAAAGTCGACGGTAAGTGTCCTTTAGCGTTCTCATATCATCATGACCGACGCGGCCCTCGGCGCGGCGCCCATCAAGACAGAACACTCCTACAGCCTACACTCGGACGTCGAATCAGCACCCTCATCCCCACACCACACCAAAGTCGACGGTAAGTGTTCTTGAACCTTCTAGTGGAATATGCTAGAGAAAATCATCATCATGACATCATCACGTCATTTGGACTCTATTGCAGGAGCATGTCTTAAGTAACCACTCTAATTTAAAGGCTAATGCCCGTTTTCACCATCAATCCCTAAATTTTAAGTGACCCCTATGGTAACACATAACAGGAATTTTGTTTTCATAGGGGTCACTTAAAAATTAGGGATTGATGGTGAAAACGGGCATAAGTTACCTACGAGTACGTTTTAAAACTGAAGGATAGAAAATGCTTTTATCTAGAGTAAATTCGCAATATTGGTGTCACTGTCCAAATTGGTTTGTTTGGCGTATCCGCCTTCAGTCCATTCCTAAGTATGACAAATACATTTCTTGGAATGTAACTACCAAACTACTTTCTAAACTACGACACATATCNTTTTAAAATCGGTCCAGTAGTTTTTGAGCCTATCCATTACAACTAAACAAACAAACAAACAAACAAACAAAGTTTTCCTCTTTATAATATTAGTGTAGACTAGCGGCCGACCGTAACTTCATACGTGTGGATCCCATTTTATCCCCTAAGGGGTGGAGTTTCGTAAAATTCGTTCTTAGTGAGCACCTACGTTCTAAAACGAACCCCCATGCAAAATTTGGGACTTCTAGCACTCGTAGTTTCTGAGATTTCGTGATGACTGAGTGAGTCAGTCAGTCAATTAGTCAGTGACCTTTCGCTTTTATAAATATAGACATTAATTTAAATTCTTAGAATAGCTAAGTTTGTTACAAAAGTTACAATTTAACTCATTATGATAAAAACATAAAGTACGTATATTTCTTACTTCAATAACTTAATTAAATCAGAGACGTCAGAAACATGCACATACCTTTGTGCAAAAAAAATAAAAAGCAGCATAATAAAAATCAACAATCGATTTTCGTTCTTCAACAGTGTCGTTTATCACCAAATGCTATGCGAAAGACGACGAATGCATAACGAACTCTACAAACGCAGCTATACCAGTTTTCACTGCTGGTGTCCCTGAGTATGGTGTGGAAACATTGGACCCAGTAACCTTCGAGACCATAGACTCGTCTGCTCCAAACCTCAATTTGATGTTAGACTCCATAACCCTCAAAGGACTGAGAAATTGTATCGCAACGAAGGCTCAGTAAGTGAAATAATTCAATCAATAAATGTTTTAAAATTTATGTTTTTTCATAATAATATTTTAATCAGATTTCTTATTCGTGAATTCCAGTTAAGCTTACAATGAAATCATTGAGTTTATGAACTACATTGACTGAAAATTCTACTGAAAATAATACTTATGTATCCTCTATTTAAACTTTAAACAAGGTGATTTGAGTAAAAAAAATAAAGGGTTACAGTCTAAAGCTGTTGATTTTTATTTAGCTGAAATCTTTAAATTCTCAATCTCAATTCTAGTTGTATTTTCTAGCCGCGACGACAGTAACAGCAGGTTGTTGTTGACAATACAATGCAACGCAACCCTGGATGGTCACTACACCATGTCGGGTCAACTGCTGATGTTGTCCATTGAGGGAAATGGGAAGGTTCACGTGGATCTTAGTAAGTTTCTTGGCTATACATACCTTTTTAGCGCCTTTTGAGAATTGGACGTAGATGAAGATTTAGATTGTAATTACTTACAGTCGGTTATGTGAGGCTCTCTCTGCCAAATGGGCAGGGCCTACTCACTAAAACCTGGCGGTGTCCTCCCTAAGTCTTTGGGACGGAACTGCGAGTTATTGTCCGAGCTAGACGGCCTAGACATTCTTTCGGGGATTGTAATTCCTACTTGCCGTATTACTAGTTAAACAAATTTAAACAATACATTTAGTAGGTACATACACGTGCAAATGGGCTATGTTATGGTAACGTTACTCGTAATTACGAAGAATTGAAGCGGAAGAAATATTTTGTTTTTAAACCATACTACCTACCACCAGCTAGCTAGCCAGCTTGCTAGCTTTCTAAAATAACAATACCTCATGGCCCAGTATTTTTGGCATCATTTCAGACAGCCTTGATTTATATTGGCGATCAGCTGTAGATTCTGGCTACACAGGAGTTGCAGCGCGAGCGGCACTAACCTCATTCAATTTCTGGTTTCTGGTTCTAGATGAGGCATCATTTGATGTCATATTGAATGTGAAAGATGTGCAGGAGAAAGATGGGAAGAATCACTGGGATGTCCGGAGCTGGTCATACAAGTATCAGCTTATTGGGAAATCCAATGTCCGTTTTGAAAATCTTTTCAATGGAAATAAAATTCTATGTAAGTTAAACTTATTTAAACACACAGTAATAACAGTGTTCCCGAAGAAAATTTTAATGATACCAGAAGGTTGCAAAAGGAATGTTGGATCACACACATAAATTCAGTAATATTGTCGATCAACTGTTTTTCGTTGGTCCAATGTTAAATCGCACCATTATGCTTATGTCGCGCTAAACATGCGCCTACAGTTGGATGCGCATCTATCCGCGCCGTACGCATCGAACGCTTTTAAGAAAAAACGGCTCGTACGGCGCGCTATGCTCTTTACTATTTCATCTAAACATTTAAAAAATGCGATGACTGCGTCACGCGCGGCGCTGTCAGGTGTGCGTCCACCTTTAAACGGCTATGTTGTCTCGTCACGTCAATGTCAATATATTTTCATAGATTCTTAATATGACCTTCGGCGTGACGTCAATAATAATTTCATGAAGACAACAGATAGTGACTCTACTAAAAATAAACTACTTAGCTTTTACCCGCGGCTTTTTCCGCGTGAAATTTATAGCCTGTGTTACTGATACTGTAAATAAATAGATCTGACCAATAATACTGTGCAGTTTCATCAAAATCAGTTCAGTATTATTAGGGTTTAGTATGACCAAATAGTATAATCTGAACTATTATTTTTTGACAGCAAAAGCGGTCGAAGCAGTCATAGCAGATAATGGAAACGAAATCATATCCACGGTCGGGTCGCCAGTCATCAAAACTGTGGTTGTCAGAATCATAAACACCATCAGACCCTTCTTCCTAGCGGTTCCTATAGAAGATTTGAGCCTTGATTAGGATTTAAGGTCAAGGTTACAAAACGTTAAGTGTAAAAGACAGGTTGACCAAACCTCAAAAGTGCATTTAAGTTTAAATAGTTTTGTGTGTTAATATGCATGTTTATATTGTAAAAAATACAATATCGCACATGTAAAATTCTTCGAGCTTTCCACTTTAACCATGATTACTGTTAGTGTCAAAATATTTTCCAACTTATCCTTTGTACTGTCTAGGCTGGCTTGCACCGTCTGACTTTAACTTTAACAAACGTCAAAAATCTGTCAAACTCCATACAAAAAACACCGGTTGTCGTTATAGTTACGGTGAAATGAAGTGGTGCAACTCAGCTTATAATTTAATTTTTATAATAAAGAAACTTTGTGGTGTTATTCTTTTACTTATTAAAATTAAATGGTTTTTTCCCTTAATTAATGGCAATTAAACCTCTGGGGTTAACGTTAAGGCTGAGTTGCACCACATAACTTTGACCGTAACTATAGCGATAACCGATGTTTTTTGTATAAAGTTTGACAGATTTTTGACGTTTGGCAAAGTTAAAGATGTGTGAGTTAAAGATGGTGCAACCCAGCCTAAGTTTCCATGACAACTAAAGTTTGGGGACGTGAAACTAATAGAATATTCGTGTACTGTGTGTAACGTTATGTAAAGAATGTAGAATCCTTTGAAACTATAAGTTTAATTATTAAATCATATTTTTTTACTTTTGTTTTATTTTCGTCATTTACCTAGTTTTAGTATTAGATAATTTGTATTACCTACTTATTTATAATAATTATGTAAACGTATGTAAAATGATTGACATTTTAATGCCTTCAAGAGATGTCTCCCACATAATTATTGATTTGCAAGAGGTAAACAAAGGTTATGTTATAAGTTTTGTGTAAGTATAAACAATTTATTTAAACACAAATAAGTAGTCAATGGTATAGGTCGTGAAATCACATAAAATGTGGCATTATTTATTATTTGTGAGTTTGTTCGCTATTGCAATTGCTGATCCAGGTAATGTGCATAATAAATGGCAATGCCAGATTTTGTATGGAAGGTGGCGTCTTTTTTTTTTCACGCGGCCATCGACCAATTGTTTTTTGATTACAAAATAGTGTAATAAACCAAACTTACTATGACATGTATACCTCTAAACTCAGTCTGAACTGAGTTACGAGCGTTAGAAGTTTGATTATTTACATACTAGATTTGCTTTTTACGCGCAAGTTTTGTAAGAAATTCAGACTTTCGCGTTTATATACGAGTATTAGTAGGATTATTTAATGCGAAAGTAACTCTGTATGTCTGTCTTGCTTTCACGCCTAAACCACTGAACCAATTTTGGTGAAATTTGGCAAAGAGATCTTGAGTCCCGGGAAAGGACATAGGATAGTTATTATTCCGGTTTTTGAAACAGGGACGCGCGCGAATCCGCGCGATAGTTTTTCTGTGACAGACCAAATTCCACGCGGGTGAAGCCGCGGGCGGAAAGCTAGTCATATTATAATTGATTCTTCTATAACACGTTTGTTTTACAGTTTGTTATCTGCATTTCTTACTAAAGCAATTAAAATAAAACTTAAAGGAGCGCTTCTACTTTATATTAAAACGAATTCAATTTGTACGGTTTACAAAAAAAAAAACCTATTGTAAGTTGCTTTTCAAAAACCTATTTCAAATACTGTCTGCAATATTTTAGAAGCCTTTTTTAATTTGACAGTTCCTTTTATAACTAAATGCAACGCAAGAGACGTGAAATGCCTGACGAATACTACAAACGCAGCTATTCCAATTTTTGCTGCGGGATTCCCCGAGTATGGAGTGGAAACATTGGACCCACTATTCTTCGAGACCATAGACTCATCAAGTCTGAACATTAAACTGATAATGTATAACACCACTGTCAAGGGTCTTAAAAATTGTAAAGCGAGGACGGTACAGTAAGTATATTTTCTTTAAATAAATAAAATTCCTGCTACCTTCACTATGTCGTCGATCCACCTTGTAGGTGGACGCAGGCTGCTACCAACCGGACAACATGGAAAGCATTGAGGGAGGCCTAGTATGTTCAGCTGTGTGGACGTCTTATAGAAGAGATAATGATGGTGATGAAATACAACATGAATACACACACCGTAAAGAAAATAAATTAGAAATTGTAATTTTGATAACAATTTAGAGAAGCATTATTCAGGGTCACATAACAAAAAAAAATTTGGAAAAAGTGAAGATTTGTGGCAACACGAGCAAAAGGACCGTCACCTGGAGTAGAATTTTTTGATTTTATTTAAATGCCTATTATTTTTAAAATATGCCACATAGATTTTTTTTTATATTTTTCTAATAACCAGCACAACTTGCCTCAACACCCAGTTCCGGCTTGACGTTACATTACGGGACACCCTGTATATACGAAAATAGTGATATCTATTATTCACGTATTTACAATTAGAATAAATACTAAATCATATTTAATTTCACATTAATAACCTACACCTGATACAAAAAATATTTATGGTTAAATCATTTTCAGGCGCGACGTCGTTAATTCAAAATTATTCATCAAAATTGAATGTAATGTAACTTTAAATGGCCTCTATGTAATGTCAGGTCGACTTCTGCTAATACCAATTGAAGGCAAAGGAAAGAATCACGCGGATATTAGTGAGTTATTTTTTAATGTTATTTTATTTTAGAAAGTTAGCCAGTCGCACTAGGTTAGGTATGCAACTGTTCTGTTTTGTAAAGTTTTATAGTATTCATTCAATTAAAGGCCACGTACCTGGGATTAGATTTCTTATTTTTTTTACCTAGGTACAATTTGTAACTGTGTACCTACTGAGGTGGTCTTAAATATGAATATTTTTTACTTACTTCTGCAAGTCTCTCAGTCAGGTTATTATTTATTTTGTTCTTTATTTTCAGATAGATTTATCACTAGCTTTAATGTAACCCTGAAAGATGTACAAGGGAAAGACGGGAAGAAACATTGGTCTATCAAGGGTTGGTCGTACACCTATGAGCTGGAGGACCAGTCGCATGTCCGTTTAGAAAATTTATTCGGTGGAAATAAGGTTTTAGGTAAATATTTTTTTATTCGAGTCTTTGCCATCGCAATTCTATTAGTAGGATAAATGATTGCATCATAAAGTAGGGTCCAAGCAACGCGGGTTCTATCCCGCCGCTGTTTGACTGCTGTGGTCATTCAATGGCTGTGGTGAATCCTGCATTTAACGGGACTATTGGTAATGTTTAAAAAATGTGAAAGTTTGCCAGATAAATGAGCCGATGTTTGTCATTCTTTTACTTTCTTTGTATATTTTGAGACTCAGGAAAAGGACCGTTTTAGCCCCAGTTTTGAGAGGACATCACGTGTGCGAATCTCATTCAGCGCAGTCGGAATTTTTATGGATTTACCTATCATCATTGAATTTTTAAAGTTCATAGCGACATTTTAACTTTCTAATTAAGTACATACCTTATTAAAAATATTAAACTTTTTATTATTTTTACAGCCAAAGCAGCTGAGATCGTCGTGGCAGCCAATGGGAATGGAATAATCCGGGAAATCGGATCACCAGTGATCAACACACTCGTTGTTAAGCTCGCAGATGCAATTCAAACCTTTTTCCATGCTGTTCCATTGGAAGATTTAATCCTGCAGTAGACTTGAAATAAATATAATATTAATATACATACGACATACATATTATATCTTTAAAAATATTATGCGTTAATGGTCGTGTAGAGCCACACCTACTTTTCACGTGAATATGAGAATATCCTTCCTATAATAACCAGCCAGAGCTGGTTGTGTCATGTAACCTTGATTTGCCTTTAGGAATTTAGAGATGATGATGATGATGCTCCTATAGTAGAAACTATATGACCAGAGGTGGAATTGTGTAAAGCAATCGTAATCATTTGACAGTTCATAACGTACGATTATTCTGTCAAACGCTTTGTTTAACTGACTTTATCGTACGTTATGAACTGTCAAATGATTACGATTGCTTTACACAATTCCACCTCTGATAATGATGAAGTATGACGCAGTTTTGATAAATATTAGTAGGACATTTAAGGAGCAGAATCATCATCATCACCATCATCTCAGCCATAGGACGTCCACTGCTTTCCATGTTGCCCAGTTGATAGCGGCCTGCGTCCAGCGCCTTCCTGCTACCTGTATGATGTGTGAAGGAGTAGAATGTAGTAGTAATATTAGAAATCGTCACTGTTAACATAGCATACCTTACACTTGAATATTATCTATACAGACTAAGATATCTACTGAGAACACACTGTTTTAAACCTTAGGAACAACGTCGAGAGTATATTTTACTAAACTAGAAGAAAAAATCAGCTGGTGACGTTTTTTAAATCCTCCACACAAACAAGGCCAGTAGGCAAAGGTCGAGTATGTTTTGTAAACTATCAATAAATAATAATAATATTAGTATCGTCATCTTCAGACCGCATGCTGCATATTAACTCCTTTTCTTTGAACTTGTTTATCTTTAACTGTACATGGCGATTTCTATATAGGCAGTAGGCTTGTACAACAATGGTTTCTAGTTTGTTGTTATATTTTGAAGAAAAAAGTCATAAACTTAAAAAAGGCATTCAGTAAGAAAATTTGTTTAGATTAAAAACATTAACGTTTTTATGTGTTCCGATGCTAAGCTCTCGGACGTTTCTGGTTACATTTTATAGGAACTTATTTCCTAGGTACCTACCTTTTGTTTTGATTGAGGTTGTTCTTCCATAACATAAAAAATGATTATAGACGCGAATAATATAATTTGCCAAATTATTCCGTTACTAAAATGTACAATTTGTAGAATACCATATTAAAAACTGTGGTTATAATTAAAAATCTCTTTACTCTTTCTCAAAATTTTTTTCGTGTGTCAGGGTTCCTCAAACTTTCCGCTCCACGAACCCTTGTTAAAGTTTCCAAGTCATAGCGAATCCCCCAAAGAAAATAATAAAAGTGACTAAGTATTGAAAAAAAAAAGTTTTTATTTTCAATAAAAGGTACCAAATAAAGACCTAAAGACAATATATCTTTTATTATTCGGCATGTGACGATGCACAGCATCTGGTGAGAGATGCGTCTACTTCCGGTGTAGTTTTTAACCATTTTATACCTTAAATGACGTCATTTCCGCAATTATTTAATAGGAATTGATTTGACTTACTTCCGTTTGCCGCCATTTTAGTCACCTGGGGGCGAGCTTGCTCGGAGTTCTTCATAGCGTCTTTAACTTCCAAACTAGCAACATCGTAAGCAGATTGTCGCAAATGGAGTTAATTTAGGAGTCATTTTGGACAATTTTAATTCTTCCACCATTACGTAAATCTTGTCACGAACCCCCTGCCCTCGAATGGGGAATCCCTAGGGCCTAGGGGTTTGCGCACCGCACTTTGAGAAACCCTTCTACTACTACTACTATAAGTGATATCTTACAAAAGCATCCTGTATCAGCTAAGCAGGACATAATTGCCAGTTAATAGTTATCAATAGAAAAGTATTTCAAATCACGGAGATGATTATACGCCATTGTTAACGTAATACCAAAGTCCTTTATAACTGAGTGTTGATATCTTCCTTCATGCAGTTTATGTAAGTTATTTTGTCTTTTCGGTTGTGCATAGTTTTATGAAAGATGCTCTCGTATTTAGGTCTAGTGAGTTTGCTGGTCACAGTGATTAATGCTGATCCAGGTAATTTGATGAACGCTTTTTACTTCACTTAATTCACTTTTTAAATCCAAAACTGTATTTTTTACTTTATTATGACTAGAACTAGAAAATTTGCAGCTACAGAGTTCGGATGGTTAAAAATCAATAAAATATGTTTTCTTTTCTTTCACAATCTTTTCATAATTTAAGTTTTTACTTACCCTGCTATGCTAAAAACCAATGATGAATAATAATTAATAGATGTTAAAAATAAGAGTGGGGCTCATGACGTATTCTTTACTATAACCATGATTTCAAATCAAAATCCTCCTTGTTTGGAAAGTTTAATTTTTATTTTCGCCTTCCTATTTATGAATTTAACTTTCTTGATTTTGGTAAAAATAATTTATTTCTTCAGTGACATTCCTCAAATGCAAAGGAGACGATGACAAATGTGCGAAAGAGTCAACGAAAGCAGCTATACCCATTTACACTGCGGGCATCCCAGAGTTCGGGGTCGAGACTTTGGATCCAGTATTCTTCAAAAATATAGATTCGTCGTCTCCAACTCTCAAATTGTTGTTGGACAACGTAACAGTTAAAGGGCTAAGGAATTGCATAGCGAAGAAGGCTCAGTAAGTGCATACGGTTATACAAGTTAGACAAGTACAAGTACAGTTAAACTAATTAATGGATGTTCTTGGCAGTATATAAAACATCTTAGTATCTCTATTTCCACATTTCCACCAATGTTTTCAGTGCCTGTAATGTTTACTAAGTGAAATACATTATGTATTTTTTAATTTTGACAACAACTAATTTCAGCTTCCAGGATTTTTGTAGATTTATCAACGGCTTAGAAATAAGTTGGTCCACAAACAATTTATAGTAATTAAGTGACATTTTATTTTCAGACGGGATGCAAAAAACTCAAAACTGTTCCTGAGAATACAGTGTGATGCCACTTTAGATGGACACTACGTCATGTCTGGACGATTACTCGTACTGCCCATCGAAGGCAATGGAAAAGTTCACGTGGATCTTAGTAAGTATAGTATAAATGCCATCAAAAATTCTTAAAAACTCATTGATTTACTACTAAAAGGTTTATTTAAGGCACTTTTACACACTTTTTACAAGTAAAAAAGTCATGCAAAATTATTGACCCATCAAATAATGTGCCTATCTAAACTACATGCTCAATCACAAAATTCTATCTACCTTTACATTCTATTATTTTAATCTTCTTGTCGTATCGACAACATACAGTGCCAGCTCAAAACTCCACTACAAGAGTGACGTTGTCAGAAGCATTTATTAAATCTTCCTGTGTGCAGTTGCTTGGGCACGCAGGGCTCGACATCATTTTATTGATAAACGTTATTTTAATTTTTGATTACAGAAAAAGCTGTAATTGACGTCAACATGGACATCAGTGATAAACAAGGGAAAGACGGGAAAAATCACTGGACTGTCAAGAGCTGGTCGCACACTTATGACCTCAAAGACAGGTCTACTGTCAGATTTGAGAACCTTTTCAATGGAAACAGGGTATTAGGTAAGCTACCTTAATTCTACAATTCTTAGTTTAAGAAGCAGAGGGCTATCCCGTCATATCTGTCGCAGAACAAATTGTGTTCTGGAATCGAACAGGACCTCGTCTCGGCTCCTTCGATGGACCGACGACCTTAATGGAATAGCTAACAGTAACTAGATTAAAAAGCTGGATCATATTCTTTGCTTTTCTCATTCACTTATGTCCATCGATGGACTGTCGTAGTCCTGCATAATACAATAAAATATCATTTTTTTAACTTCATACAAAAGCATTGGATGCACTTTGTTTAAACTACTCAATAAAAAGTAATGACTTCACATTTTACCATACAATTGCTGATGTTTCTTTTGCGTGATTTCCTTAATTAAGCGTTAAATAGAACATAAAAAAAGGCTCAATGGTTCTATGTAACGATTGCTACAAAGGCAACTAATTAGATACATAATTTCTCAACTAGATGTTAAGGAAGTTATCAATCATTACGAAGTCTCATTGTGAGTACTGCAATGAATCCAAATGTACATCTTATAAACTCTTATAAAAATACAAATACCTACCTAATGCTAGTCACTAATCACTACATAGTATATAAACAAAGCCACTTTCTGCTGTCTGTCCCTATGTACGAGTATGCTTAGATTTTGTAGCGATTATTTTTATACATAGATAGAGTGATTCATGAGGAAGGTTTAGTGTATAGGTACTTAAATAAATATTTAATTTTTACACTTCGAGTCCCAAACTAAGCAAAGCTTGTACAATGGGTACTAGACAACGGATATAACATTACCCAAATACTTTTTCTTTTTTGTAAATACATACATATTATAAATAGTAACACCCAGACCCAACACAGAAATTAAAATTCATCATTTCAATTTCTGCCCGGCCAGGAATCGAACCCGGGACCTCTCGGCATAGTAGTCCGTATCGAAACCATTACACCAAACGGCTGACTTAGCTAGACTTAGCACCTGTGTGAAGCCGGGGCAGGTCGTATCCCAACCTACTGATATGATACACTATTGACTCATTTGTTGGCGACTGCCACCTTAGGAATATTATTTTTGTAGCATATTCTACTCATGTTTTTTTTTTTGCCAGGTCAAGCGGCAGAAGGAGTGATAGCGCAAAGCGGGAACGAAATCATCAGGGAGGTCGGTTCTCCTGTCATCAAGACTGTCGTGGCCAGGGTGGTGGACACCATCCATCATTTCTTCGAAGCAGTTCCGACTGAAGACTTGACTCTTGATTAAAGTGTCTCTTATTTAATGAAATATTTTATTTTAACTTCGGAGAACTCATATTATGTATCTAACAAAAATATCTTTCAAAAAGCATATAAAAACAGAATATGGTTTTGGAAACCACTTTAGGTGAAACTCACTCAAGAGTATCCAAATTTAACGAGATAATTACATACCTTCATATTGGACAGAACATTAGACTCTACATTTTTACTGCACTACACTACATTGTACCTATTACAAACGTTTGTAACACTAAATAATGTCCATGCCATCTGGGAATCGAACCCAGATCCAAGGGAATGTTACTCTCTCACCGCCGATTCATGGAAACTTTACATTGTGATGAAATATAAATATTAGTGAGCTCATCACGATGATCAACAAAATCAACTATTAATAGCCACCTAATTAAGAAAGTTTCCGTCATTGTAAAAATCCGGTCCCTATATAACTTGGTCGTTAGTCAAACCATTTAATTGTAGTTTAGTTCATCAAGGTACGTTGTGTAGTTTTCGTCATGTCGCAGAAAATACTTCTGGTGTTTGTATTTTGTGTCGTGGCCTTGGCAGGCGTTAACGCAGGTTTGTTTTTTTTTTATTTCAAAGGTAAAAATACTTTTAAAAAGCTAGAAGTGAAAAACACACAGAAAACAATGTAAACAATAAAGTACCTACAGTCAGCGTCAAATAGTTCATGCCACCCATTGTCGTCAAAAAGTTGTGAACACAAACTTATTTTAACAAAGACAGTGTTACGAACTTTTTGGCTACATTGGGTGTAAAGAACTAGATATTTGACACTGACTGTACGAGTAATTATTATAGTACATTATTCAAATGCGTTAGATATAAAAAAAAACATACTATTGAACCAAACAAAACACGGTAACTAATTGTGTCATTGACTCCATTCATTCCAGTGCCATACATAACAAAATGCGCATCACACGATGCGAAATGCTTGAAACGATCAACCCAAGCCCTCCTGCCGATGTTCGCGAATGGTATGCCGCAATACGCCGTCCAGGCCCTCGATCCCCTGGTAATTAGAACCGTTGACGCCAGCACAGCCAGCCTGCAGCTTATTGTCAACAATATGGCGGTGACAGGGTTAAAGGGATGCGTTGCTACTAAGATTGAGTGAGTATTTCTTTACGACCTAATTATTGTGCCAGTTATCTGACTGTTCGGACGTCGGCACATCAATCAAGCACTGATGCGTATTTTCTCCAGAAGTCATTTGTCGTTTTTTTTAAATGGTTGAATTTGAATATTTTTTTTACAGGCGAGACTTAGCAGCATCGAAGTTGTTAACGAATTTCCTTTGTAACGTCCGTGCTGAAGGCAACTATGAGATGCATGGGAGGCTTCTAGTGCTGCCCATTGAAGGCAAAGGAAGAGCTCAAGTAGAACTAAGTAAGTTTCCTATTTTTTATTCCAGTTCTCAGGGAGCATCGAAGTAAGCCATCAGAGTCCTGAGACAGGATTGGGGAATGACCTTAAATTGTAAATTATGGTTCATAATAATTATCAACTCATTTATTCTCCACTACTGGAACACAACCCTTCTAATTACTAGAGGCAATTTTCACAGTCAGTTAAAATGGGTATTTCAATGAAAAATACACAATATTAATTATTATCTCTCTTTTTATGCCAAAAGAATTCACCTTTTCATTAAAGGTTAACACGTGGGCATCAAGTGGGTTGTTCCCAATTAGGTATCAAAATACCTGAGTAATATTTGGTCAACTATCACTTTTATTCCAGATAAAATTCAAATGAACGTGGTCAGTAACATCGTTGAGAAAATCGGCAAGGACGGCAAGAAGCATTGGCATATAAAAGGATCATCCTACAGCTACGAACTCAAAGACAAGGCGCATGTTAACTTCGAGAATCTCTTCAATGGAAATGAACTTATGTGTAAGTTAAAAGAACAACATACTATTATAACAGATTTCATAATTTAAGATTCACCAAATAGTACCTACGAGTATATCAATCAAGCGAAATATTACGCTCATAAAAGAACTCTACATTACATCAAGAACCGTATAATCTACTTCTTACTTTCATTCAATTTCATAATAATGATATAGCACTAGTCTAAACTAAATTAAAGGTTTATCATCGATTTTTTTATCCAATAACTTAACCTTTTGTTCCACGAAACAATTATAACAATGCTACGAGTATAAATAGATTAAATACTCATAATTTGGATCAAATGATATTATAATAACAATTACAGTTAACAGCAAAATAATTACCGACCTTAATCGCTAATTTCTTTTCCATTGAATCTACTAATTGAAATATCTGGCAATTAGGGCGTTATTACAAAATACCAGAATTTGATAACATTTAGCGAAGTCGGAGTGGTAATTAAATTTGATCAGTGACCCAACTACGTAACAGTTTTATTAATTCGGTAATAATTGATGTGAAGGTGACTGTACCTAATGCGAAAGGCAAAAGGATAAATAAAAGTCGAAATCTAAGTTCAATACCTCAAAAGGATACAGTAACCTACATAATATTAACATACTTCGCTATTTTATATTATGTCTTTTGTCTATCTCTCAAGAAACTAATATCAAACACTTAGGCTGGGTTGCACCATCTTAATTTAACAAACGTCAAAAATTTGTCAGACTTCATACAAAAAGCCCCATTTATTGTTATTAATTGTTACGGTTAAAATAAGGTGGTGCAACTTAGCTTAAATCTATGCTTGCAAATATAGAAAAGAAGGCGTGTTTAATTGGACAGTCAAACTGTAAGATGTCGTTTCTAACCAAACGGGACTAATCTTATTCCCAAAATTGCAAATCTCAGTCTGCCTGCAAATCATTTCTTTTTTACATCGTGTGGCTCTCTACTAGCCTATGACTAGCATCAAAATACTTCCAAAATTCAACATGACTGGCATCAAATTTTCAATATTCAAATTTCAAAAATTCGAATCCAGAACAGAATAAATTCAAAATATTTTTTTCTTTCCAGCCAGGGCAGCCCGTGAGATAATAGCGAACAACGGTAACGATATCGTCGTGGAGGTAGGGCCTCCTGTCATCAAGGCCATCGTTGACAAGATCATCGAGAACGTCAACCATTTGTTCCGAGCGGTTCCAGTCAAAGAACTGGCTTTAAACTGATAAATCCAAAGTTTTATTAAAGTAAATAAAATCTTAAAAACAGTGATTCTTTTGTTTTCTCTTATGCTTATTCCAATATGACTAGAGTGAAACTACGAGTAAGTAGCGTTAATTCGCAATTCATGTAATAATAGGTGATGATTTCGTTTACGGAATAAATATACCTCCTAAAACATTTTCACATTTTCATGTATACCACATTTTCATGTATACCTAAGACGAACCGTATGGCTCGCATGTGAAAAAGTAATCTTCAGATCTCATGTAGAGCCAAGCTCTGCACCATAGTCAAAATATTTGGGATGGCCGTTTCATACACAACAATTCGAATTGGCAAATCGAAAATTAAACTCCATTTGTCATCAAATCAACAGAAGCTAATAAACTCCCAGTGAAACCAAATTATACCGGCACAAAACAAATGAAATCAGCGACAAATCCTAATAATTTATTTAACGACTTAAACACTGTAGAATGTTCTTTAGGGTAATAAATTTTATTATCCCTTCATGAAACTGTCGTCGAATGCGTACGCGCCGCGTTGGCATCATACTGGATACTGGCTGTAAAGAACTATTATTTTGTGCCTTCACACGGAGGCGAAAGATATAAAAATGTCAGCACTCTTTCGTGTTTAGGAGCATATGGTATTGCATTTATTTAAAGAATGGGGGAGCGAAAGTGGAACAGGCGGTATGAACATTGATAGAGACATGATTTCAGTGTGTGTTAGTGGGTAAAGATAAAGACAAGCGGAATAGACAAATGATATAAAAAAACTAACTACCTAAGTAAACTTGACCTTCACTGGTTGGGTTTTTATTGGCGGTCAAGCTGTAGATCCCGGCTACACAGGAGTTGCAGCAGAGGGAACGAGAGGTGGGAATAGTCCCGTAACTACCTAACTCAACAATTCGGCAATACATATTATACTAAACCGAGACTTAAAACCACAGAAATAATATTAGGTACATTTGATTTAAGTTGCATAAATCGTATCACTAATTAATTGGTATTTTTCCATACATTTTTAAAAGGTTGCCTTATGTACTTTTTTCTGTTAAATACCCGTTTTGTTTTGACCGCTGAAGTGTCCATCCTTTTTAACACTACCTATACGAAGATTTTATAAACCATAACGTTATTATTTTATTCATCCAAGTAATGTTAGTTAACATCAAAGGAGTTTGATTCAAAATTTTCGGTAGCTATATTTTTTTACGGAATAGCTCTTTCGAGTCTTTTTATTGGTCAAATACCTATCGCATTCCTACCACAAAGGTATCGTCTCCCAATAACGTCCCTATCGGGGCTTTTATCATGAACCTGACAATTTGTATTATTATTTTGACAAACAGATGATTGCCGATGCAATCTGTTACCGGTATAATGAGGCATGACTCAGCATGCTGAGACGGTTTTAATGGCATACTGGACTTGCAGACAGAGCTTGTTTTAAAATAAAAAAAGAATAGTGACGAGTGAACTTTAAAGGTAAAAATAAGAAAATTGAGACTCATTTGTTGTTGCTTGATGCAAGATAAGAATCTAAAGATTAATTAAACTTCATAAAATAAAGTCAATATTTATTGAGGTTTCGTAAAGTTACAAGTTTAATAAGAAGATGCATATGAAGCATGCAGAGAAAACACAAAGAAACTTATTCAAACAACTAAGGACAAATATTACTACAATAAATTTAGTCAATTATTAGGCAAACCAAAAAAAATGTGGAATTTAATTAACAACTTGGCACAAAACAAAATAAAAAAACGTTGCGCTTTATCAAAACTGAAAATTGAATCCAAAAATATAACTGATACGAAAGAAATCTGTGAAGCATTTAATCAGTATTTTTCTACAATCGGTCCTAGCTTAGCGAATGAAATTCCCATACATTACCATGATAATATTGCAAAAGCTTTACCATGCACTGTACAATCCTCAGGACTTTTTACACTAGAGCCCTGTACTACTGATGAAATCACCAAAATTATTAATAATTTGGATGCCAATTCTAGCACTGGTCTAGATGGCATTAGCACGAAAGCTATAAAATGTCTCNCCTGTAGGTTTTGATTCCCTTGCAAGTGTCGAAAATTTGCGGCATAAACGGCTGTATCTTTTGATTGCGTTGGCTTAGAAGTTTGATTTTTTCACAGCTTCAAGGGACAGTAGACCTGAGTAATTGATATAAATTTCAGCTTCATACCACCACGCGTTTCTGAGAAAAAGGGTCTTGACAGACGGACGGACGGACAGACGGACAACAAAGTGATCCTATAAGGGTTCCGTTTTTTCCTTTTGAGGTACGGAACCCTAAAAAGGAACTACCTCAGTAAACTTGACCTTCACTAGTTGGGTTTTTATTGGCGGTCAAGCTGTAGATCCTGGCTACACAGGAGTTGCAGCGATGGGAACGAGAGATGGGAATAGTCCCGTAACTACCTAAGTCAACAATTCGGCAATACCTATTATACTAAGCCGAGACTTAAAACCACAGAAATAATATTAGGTACATTTGATTTAAGTTGCATAAATCGTACCACAAATTAATTGGTGTTTTTCCATACATTTTTAAAAGGTTGCCTTATGTACTTTTTTCTGTTAAATACCCGTTTTGTTTTGACCGCTGAAGTGTCTATCCTTTTTAACACTACCTTACCTATACGAAGATTTTATAAATCATAACGTTATTTTTTATTCATCTAAGTAATGTTAGTTAACATCAAAGATAGATAGATAGATAGATAGATAAAACGTTTATTTATTTGCATAACAGAAACACACATTACAAACAGAAAGTACCAAAAGTAGGGTAAAATAGTACCCTCAGGACAATATGACATAGTATGGTAAGACAGAAATAAAAAGAAAAAAATCATTATGACATACAATATAGGTACACACTATATACAGAAATGTGTGTCGCAGCAATGCAAAACGGCAATAGCTCAGTAATTGGTTTACTTAAAAGGAGTTTGATTCAAATTTTCGGTAGCTATATTTTTTTACGGAATAGCTCTTTCGAACTTTAAAAACTTTTATTGGTCAAATATCTATCGCATACCTACCACAAAGGTATCGTCTCCCAATAACGTCCCTATCGGGGCTTTTATCATAAACCTGTCAATTTTTATTATTATTTTGACAAACAGATGATTGCCGATGCAATCTGTTACCGGTATAATGAGGCATGACTCAGCATGCTGAGACGGTTTTAATGGCATACTGTGTGCTTACCATGAGTTTACGTTAGGTGTGCTCGCTAGCGAGTACGTCAAAAAACTCTATGAAGATTTTATTTCTTGAAAGTAGCCGCTAGGGGCGCTGCACAATCGTTACATTCCCTCTAATATGGTCGAGTGAAGCGATGGCTGGTTCACTCGTCATGTCTGTGAACAGGCGCTGCTTTTGGGGACTGGTCAATCCAAGTTATTCAAATTTATGTATGCGAGTTATTTCTACTAGTATCTTAATATGTAAGTCTAGATATTAGCACGTCACTACCTTGTTTAATATACCACGCAATCTTGTATACCCATTCTTATAAGATACACCATACAAGAATGCATGGTAAATTCAGTGAACTGCTCCTGATTCGAATGTACTACTACTGTTTCTATTTATTTATATTAACCGGCAGACAGTGGTGACTGAGTTTGTTGCGGCGCTTCTTCTCAGCACTTGCCAAATGTTGGTCTCGAAGCGCTGGTAGGGTAAAAAGATTATGAGACATGTAGAGGCTCCTTAAGAGCAAAATGACGATTTGTAAGAACTATTTATTAGTCCAAACAAATAAAGAAATTTTGACTTTGACTTTGACAATATGTCATACATTTAAATGTCATTTTTTTACGCAGTCGCCAGCGAGCACACCTAACGTAAACTCATGGTAAGCACACTGGACTTGCAGACAGAGCTTGTTTTAAAATAAAAAAAGAATAGTGACGAGTGAACTTTAAAGGTAAAAATAAGAAAATTGAGACTCATTTGTTGTTGCTTGATGCAAGATAAGAATCTAAAGATTAATTAAACTTCATAAAATAAAGTCAATATTTATTGAGGTTTCGTAAAGTTACAAGTTTAATAATAGCTATGAGAAACATCTTTATCGTCATTTTAGGTCACCTAGTCTTCAAGAACACAATCTTCTCCAATTTAACAGAGGCAAACGGATGATTAAGTAGGTAGTTAGGTACGCAAGGGAAGTACGCAGAATGGACGGCCGATGGGGCAGCAAGGTTCTGGAATGGAGGCCGCGTGCCGGAAAACGCAGCGTGGGACGTCCACCTACAAAGTGGACCGACGATGTCGTAAAGGTAGCGGGGAAGCACTGGACGTAGGCCGCTACCAATCGATCAACATGGAAAGCATTGGGGGAGGCCTATGTTCAGCAGTAGACGTCCTATGGCTGACATGATGATGATGATGATGATGATGAAACGGATGATTTGGGTTACACCCCTCACTCTGGCTAGAGTATGAGTATAGGACCGCCCCCTTTCTTCTTCCGTATGAATCTCATACTACTTTGCCGGAACCACATGGCTATAAAAAGCACCAAAACCCTCAAAAATCACCATTACGACCCTCAACTTGAACTTCCAAACATATCGTTATTATCATACGGAAGCATGAACGCATAATAAAATCTTTGCCCCTATATCAGCACACAAATCGACCAAGAAAATGAATTAGCCGGGGCGTAACTAACTACCAATCAATAGCAAACTGATTTATTCCCAAGGGGCGATGTTATCGTTGAGAATTACATTGCGACTTTGGTGGCGAACGGAGCGGGCAAAATTAAAAATATACATAGTAAGGTTTAAGGTAACAATGGAACTTTATTATTTTCATCATCACAAGCTTATTAAGTCTCAATGCAAGAAAACGACCCCCTCATATTTACCTACCAAATGTAGGCCATTGCAGCGTGGGTATTGTAGACAAACTTACAGTCATAAGACTGAGCGTACGTGTGACTTAATAATATACTATTATGTGACTCCACTAGAAACATCTAGTCTGCATTAAAGTTCG